GTGTAAGATATGACAAAATAATAATTTATAAATTATCAAGGTTTCATGGGGGAGGGGGAAGAGGGAGGGGGAAATGAGGAGCAGATACCACAGGCTCAAGTAGAAAGCAAATGTTTTGAGAAGGATGATGGCAACAAATGTACAAATGTGCTTGACACAATGGATGGATGTATGGATTGTGGTAAGAGTTGTACGAGCCCCCAATAACATGATTAAAAAAAAGAAAGGTCAACTGATTAATAATAAAATCTAGTGGCGAGGTCACTTCAGCTGCATTTTCAAGTGGCATTTCAGTGGACTGATGCAAGCCATTGTGTGTGTGTGGGAAAACAGGCAGGCCCAGAAGGTGGCTGTGGAGGAGGGTGCCTGCAGGTGGCGGCTCTCCAAGGGTGTAGTGGTGCACCAGGACCAGCACCTGGATGGCTGACCACTGACGGCACCGCCATTACTGCAGAAGAGGACACGAAGGTCCTCTCAGAAATCGAGGGCAGGATGTTGGCGAGGTGTGGACAGGCAGACAGTTCTGGACATTCTCAGAAGCCAGCTTACTGCCATAGTCCTCGATCAGGTCCCTGGTCCTCCTGTTTGGATAGCGTGATGCACTTCCCATTCGGCTGTGCCCCTTGAGGAGGCTCCTGGCCACCTGGGCCTGCCACCTGCACTAGGGTGGTGGTCTTGTTGAGCAGGGCCTTCGGGCACTACAGCACTCCCATACACACCAACAAATAAAGGGGCTTCGGAGTGTGACCCTCTGGGGGAAGGCTTAGGAGAACCCAGTTCCCCGGCCTGCTAAGCCAGGTATGGCGATCTAGCCTGGTCTCTTGGCCACTACCAAGGGATGGCCAGAGGGGGAAGCCAGCTGTATTAGGATACTCTAACAAATTCACCAAAACTATATAAATGCCATTATGTCCGCTAGAAAGAATTACTGCTGACTAATGTTAAGATTCCACCATCATTTGAGATTGTCATCTTGAGTTCGTTTGTTAAAAATGTGAAGGAAAAAAAGGTGCATTTCTGAATAAACGAATCACAGCCCTGGTGACAGTACTGGGGCAACTGGACTGCAAGGCTGGCAGTTCAACCCCCACCAACGACTCCAAGGAGAAAGATGAGGCTGTCAGCTCCTGCAGATTTAAAGCCTCAGAACTCCTCGTTGGAATCAGCTGGATGGCACTGGGTGGGGTGTATGTTAAGTGTGTGTCACTCATACACACACACAAATATACTTTTCTCTGATGCTAAGATCGCAGGTTCTTTGAATTGTCTTCTTCGTGCTTTTCAACGCTTTCTTAGGTCTTCCAAAACCTTTGCAATGGAGACTTGTGAGGAGTTGGTGGTGGTGTCGGCTGCTGGTTTGTACCCGATTCTGGTCACCCTCTGCCTGCCCCCAGGAAGCCCCAGACCCTTCCTCCTGAGTTCCTCCCTGGCCCAGTCCCCCGCCACCTGAGACCGTGGTCACAGGTCAACAAGGGCAAACTCCAAACTTCCTGCCCCTGAGGGGATTCCAACTCACAGTGACCCCGTGGAGGGTTTCCAAGACTGTCACTCTTTACAGGCGCAGACAGCCTCCGCTTCCTTCCAAAGAGCAGCTGGTAGGTTTGAATCACGGTGTTGCCGTTGGCAGCCCAAGGTCTAACCCATAGCACACCCCCCTCACCCTGTCAACAAGTCAATGCTAACTCAGAGTGACCCTGAAGGTCAGGGCAGGATTGCCCCTGTGGGTTTCCAAGACTGTCACTCTACAGGGGCAGACAGCCTCCGCGTTCTCCTTCAGAACTGCTGGTGTCTGCTGACCCTGACCCCGTGGTCAGCAGCCCCACAGTCCCCACTGCCTCCCAGGGCCTCCAGGCAGCATTATCAGGTTCTCCTTAAAGGGCAGAGGGGCCTCGTTTCCTTTTTTTAATTATGAGAAAAGATCTGCAAAAGATACAAAGAATTACATAAACTCTCATGTTTCCACCTCCTTCACGGATTTATTTGCTGTGCTTCTTTTTGGAGTGGAAACAAAACATTACCCCAAAAGCTAATGTCTCTCTCTCCTGCCTGCCCCCTTCTCTGCCTTATCTTCTCCCAAGAGATGTTCCTACCTTGACATAGTTCGTGTGACTTACCCTTGCTTTCAACCAATGTATGGTATTGTCTTATGTCTTGCTCCTGTTAATCCCCTGTGCTTTTGTGCTCTGTCCAAGTGGATAAGCATCCTTCAGAGCCTAGACCACTTCTTGAATAGCGATAGACTGTTCCATGCTCTCGGATCCATCCATTCATTTTCTCCAGTTACTCATTCTCTGCGGCACAGTCCGTGGAACCTCCTCTGGGAGGGCATCTCTGTGCGCCCACATCGGTTCCTCCGTGCATGGTCATCTTGTCCAAAAGGCGGTCCGGAGTCCACCCCACATGAGACGCCTCCGTGCCTGCGGGAGGAGGGCGGAATGAACGATAGCGTGTAGAGAGGGGTCACTTGCTCTAGCCCTTGTCTTTCTCTAAAGCATCAGCCTCGGTCACCTTGCACCGCCCTTCCCGGGCCTCCACCCACGCGGCCGATCTCCGCGCGCGGCCAGTTTACCTGCCGGCTACGGCGCAAAGGACGCGGCCAAGGTCACTCGGCTGACTAGTCTGTCCTGGGCACGCTCCGCGGCCGCAGCCCCGGCTTCCGCTTCCGTCCGGCGAAGCGTTAGAGCCGCTTCTCTCCCCTTTCGGGGCCTCTTTCCTCCGTTTTTGGTTTTTTTTTTCTGGAGTCCCCCGCTGGTCTCTTTCCCGGCGTCTCGGCGGCCGCCGGGTCTCGGGGAGGGTGGGGGAGGCGCCCGAAGCGGAAGCAGCGGTAGCAGCGGTTGGGCCGGGCTCCCACGAGTCTGCGGGTTCGGGCCCGCCGGGCGCGGGCGGGAAGTGTGGGGTGGGGCTGGGCCGGGCGCTGGGAGCCCGGGGTCCGAGCGGGGCGGTCTGGACGGAGGGCGGGCCCGGGGGCGGGGCCGGGGCGGGGCGGGCGAGCCCAGCCCCTCCCCCTCCGCGCACCCGCCGCCACCTCCCTCCACTGAGAGCTTCCACCGCTCGCTCGGCTGTCAGGCGCGGTGGCCAAGTGGTAAGGCGTCGGTCTCGTAAACCGAAGATCGCGGGTTCGAACCCCGTCCGTGCCTGGTACCCGAGGTTGTGGCTTTAACCGTGAGGCTGTGATACCTTTGCTTAGGACTCCGCCCGGTGCGCGGCGTCTTTTTTTAACTCTCCGAATCCTGCTTTGGAACACTGCAAGGTCCGTCTGGCGCAGGTGCCGTGCCCAGGTTCCGCAGAAATTCGGTGTCAGCTCTCGCGCGAGCCCCGGGACCCGTTCGTGTTGTCTGGTCCCAGGCGCAGGGTGCCCCCGGGCCTCCCGATGTCGCCGATAGGAAGAAACGTGGACCTGGGGTGACCACCCGGGCTAGCAGTGGCGCTGCCCGCAGCAGGGACGTGTTCTACGAGTGCAGTAGAAGACGCAACCTTCCAGAAAGGGCGCGTGGGTTTCGGACATGGTGTTTCTGGATGTCCCTTGTCCCGTTTCATGTGAGCTCTGCAGGCCATGTGGCCTCCTGCCTCCTTGTCTAGGAAGCCAGCCACGTTGTTCAGCTAGTGGGCGCTGATTGCTTTCCCAGCCCTGTGTACTGACCCGCGGAACCTGGCTCCTAGACAGCGATGCCACGCCTCAAATCCCCTCCAGGATAAACTGCCCCATTTAATACGACTCTGCCGACTGTCCCCATTCGTTTTGACACAGCCCAGGTAGCTGTCTTCCGCTTTAAGGGGTGACATTCAGCAAAGAACAGAACTTAGAACGTCACCTCCCTTCGTGCTGTACACACCATGCTCGGGTTAGTGTGGGCCAAGTTCACGTTCCTGGTGGTGGTGTGGTTACATGTTGGGCTGCAATCGGCATGGCTCGGCAGTTCTAAATCACCAGCAGCTCCGGCTCCGTGGGCGAAAGACTGGGCTCTCTGCTCCTGTGAGCAGTTGGTCTTGGAAATCCACAGGGGGTCACTATGATGATGGCAGTGAGTTTAGTTTTTTGTTTTTAACCAATGTCCCATTTGTGGCCATGAGGAACTTGGGGTGGGTGAAAGGCCAGTGGAGTCTCTTAGGGGCTGCCTCTAGGGTTGTCAGAATACAGGAGATGAGCCCGACAGCAGGGAAATTCAGATTCCAATACATGGAAGAAATGCTCTTGACCTTTGAAGAGAATGCTGAGCTAGGGTCAGTGTCCCAACGGAATTGTTACTGAAAGGCAAATCCGTTTCTGACAAGTGCTGTTGCCTACATGGATTTCAGTTATTAAGGGCTTGGAAGGGACATGGCCTCCAATGTTCTCTCCATGCTGATCCCTGATGAAAAACACTGGGTCTCTTAGACCAGGTGAAGCAGAGAACTCCACTCCAAGGAGGGAGGGAGTGAGCCAGGTGCAAGTCAACATAAGACGATCAAGGTGCAGAGAAGGTCAACCTACAGAAGCGGGGTAATTGGGGCTCCTGAAGGTGCAGGGCTGGAGGCAGTCGGTAAGGATGGATCCCGGTTCGAGCTCCAGGAGGAGCGAGGAAAGTGAAGGCAGTTTTAACACAAGCACAAGGTGAAGCTGAAAGAGAAAGGTCTTGGGATTGGCTCGAGAGCTAGCAGCTATCTACACTGACGTCAGTCTCAGGGAGAGAGGCCAGCAGCGCCTACAAGATCAGCCGTGGAGCCCAGTGCAACATGGGAACCCTAGGCTGGTGGAGTTTCAGCAGGGGCAGAAGGAACGCCTGTCTGGACTCCTGTGTGGGGCTTATTGCAGGCCCCCTGTCCCAATCACCCACATTCCCTGGACATCACTTTCCTTTTCTGCAAAATCCGAAAGGTGAAGGGTACATTTCTTACAAGCCCGAAATTCTCAGTTTCTCCTGAAGGGCCTGAATCATGGGAGAAGTGAGGGAACTTCAAGTCACCCCACCCAGCGCAGCCAATGTGGTGAATCATAATAGCTCCTTTCACAGCTGGCCTGGTCTTGCAACCTTGGGAAGGAATCTCTATGACCCTGGCTCCACCCCCACCCCTATCACCAGTCTCCATGCGCTCAAAGGGCCTCCCCTTTGCTGCCTCCCAACCCTGGTCTCTACAGAACAGCGGCCTCTGGTACTGCCGTTTGGAAGCCACGGAGGCAGACAGTCATTTGTGGGCTGCAAAAACCTCCAGAATATTTGTTAAACTATCAACTACACTAGGTTGGGCCTCTCCCTTCCTGTGCAGAAATATTATTTAACTTAAAAGTAGAATGTGGCAAGTTATATACATTGTGCCTCATGCTGTCTGTTTGGACGTGTGAGAGTCCAGACTAGAGATAGATACATACTTTTAAAACATCTTTTCATTGTAAGAGAAGCACAGATTCAAGCTTCACAGATCAAAGGAATGGCTTAACAGCTTATCAAGGGGACCAGGAGCCAGGTCTGAGAACTGTGCCAGAAGTCCTTCCAGGTGCTCCTCCTACTGACCGCCGAGCCCCGACTCCTGTAACCATCGCCCAACTTTGACAGAAATCATTACGAAAGGCCTGGTGACCTCCTTCCAAAACCAGCAGGTGAGAACACCATGGATCAAAGTGGTCAGACCCTGCTGTGCGCTGGTCCTCCTGAGCCCCGCACGGGTGGACTCAAGGGGATGCTAGCAACAGGTGGGCGTGTATTGTTGACACACCTTTTAAACCTTTATCATCATCATCAATAAGGAGCTGTGTTGGCATCATTGAGCTGCCAACCACAAGGTCAACGGTTCGAAGCCACCAGTCATTCCTCAGGAGAAAGATGAGGCTGCTTACGCTTGTAAAGATTTTTAAAGTCTCAAAAATCCACAGGGGCAGTTCTTCTCTGTCCTTTGAAGGTGGTTGTGAGTTGGAACAGAGTTGATGGCAGCGAGAGTTTTTTGGGCTTTTTCCCTTCCGGGTTTTTCTTCTTCTTTTTTTTTTTTCTTTAACCACTAGGGCTCTTTTCTTTCCCTTTCCTTTCCACACAGTGTATATCTATTGAGGAACCCTGGTCACTAGACTTGCGGAGTTTCCCACCATGTGCAATGAGTTCCTCTGTCCTTGGTATTTTCTGCAAATTAGCTGAGTTCGATTCAAAGCCTTGGGCAAAACCTGCACAGGCAACGAGTCACCCTGATTTCTCCCTGGGCTCCCCCCAAGGCTGCGGAGCTGTCACTCATGGCTGTCCTTCCGCCTGGGGCCCAGTCCTGCCACCAGAGGACCCCTTCTGGGAGGCTCGGGCAAACCTTCCCTGGGGAGATGGCTTCTTGGTGGGGTTCTCAGAGCAGGATGACTACTGTCTGCTGTCGCTCGGTCATCTTCCACACTCGAGGATCATGATCTCTGCCCCTCAGCAAGCCCAGGTGCTCTTCTGTGCCCTGCTGCCCCTTGAAGCTGCAAGCAAAATGGCTTCAGAATCAGAAACAAAGACTCATTCTCTGTAGATGGTTTTATAGCAAACCCTTAAGGCTGGGGCCAACAGTTTATGGGGTGATCTAATGGAATAATGCAGGGACAGGAATGAAAGCGACCGTCCAGCCCTCTCACTTAAACACCTAGAAACAGCCCCAGCAAGAGGAGGGAGGTGTCCTTCTCAGAAAGCCCCACCTTTCCCACACAGGCTGAGCTCGGCCTGGGATGGGCACAAAGCTGCTGGAAGAGACCTCTCACTGTGAACGGGACCCGGACCCAGGAGACGGCCTCTCGTGGTCAGCCTGGGAGCAGGGGACTCTACCTGTCTAATATTTATTCCTGGTCAATAGAAGAAATAGTGACCCAAATCCTATTACTTGACTATGATATTGAGGCTTTGGGGACGAGGAGGGATACAGGCGCACTGTCCCAGGTTGGCTTTCCCGGGAGGCAGACTCTGACATGGCGTTTCACTGATCCCACCTGCAGAAGGAGGGGACCTAGGTGGGAGCTGTGGGAGAGGCCCCTCTCCCAGCACTCATTGGGTGTGACTGCCTGGGAAGGGGCCTCACTTTGGACCAGGGGGCTCTCTCCTCCTGAGGCAGTCCCTAAAGGGACAGGGAGTGGAAGGAAGTCTGTGGACAGCACCCCCAGCAGCTGGGGGTGACCTTGCACACAGGGGATGTAATGGCAGGATTTAACTTAGTCATCGAAGGTGAGCACCAGCCAGGAGAAGACTTGTGGCTGTTGCCCAAGGCTTTGACTCTGCACCAAGGGCTGTAACGCTTCCCAGATATTTAACCTGCCTTCAGGAGCCCCTGGGTGCTGTCAGCTGGTCCTTGCTCCATGCAGGGCAGAAGAAAGGGCTGGTGGTTGCCTGCAGAAAGATCACAGCATGGCAAACCCTGTGGAGCACAACTGTTCTGGGACACACGGCAGGGGGCGATGAGTCAGAAATGATTGGAGGGCAACTGGGGTCTTGTCTTGACGTTCTGACCCTCCTGAGTACTCCTGGAGGAGCCCTGGTGGCATCGCGGTTACAAGCTGGCCTGGTAACCGCAAGGTTAGCTGCTCAAAACTACCAGCCACTCCTCGGGAGAGAGGCAAGACTTTCTACTCAAAAGAGTTTCTAATGCTTTCTAAAGAGTTGCCGACTCAAAACCCCACAGGGGCAGCTCTCTCTTGTCCTATAGACAGGGCCGCTATGGGTGGGTGGGTTTGTTACCATGGAAAGCCTTTGGGAGACTCCCGTGCAGGCAGGTGAGAGAGACGGCTGGGAGCCTGTGTTAGTCTGGGTGCTTTAGAGAAACAAATCCACAGAAACTCATGTATAAGAGAGAGTTTTATGT